CACTGGCATTCTTCTCCTCTTCGCTTTTGTCCATATCGTCACGTAACCGCCTTTTCTCCAATAGAAAGCTTTCAGTCAAGCCAGGTGACAGAAATGCCTTCACGAAACAGATACTATATCGTACAGTGGAAACGCTGCTGTGTCTTGCTCCCATAGCGTGATTCCACGTACACAATGCATGCTTGCATAAAGCATATTATTATCCAGCCTCGATCATTATAGACGCTGTTCTGTCTGCTGCCGGCTGCCTTTGCACGGATATTGTGTGGACCAGGTTGCGTTTTTGCCCCGATTACCACTGCGTTTCGATTACTTGTACTGGGCGGGGGGTGTGAGTTCATGGTCAATGTAATACAGTTAAACGAAACCACTGAACTGGAAAACACCGTCGATAACGCTGAAGCCTATTAGCGGCGGACGCTATTGCACGCACTTGAAAGATTACTAGAAAAAAAAGCTGTGTTTTCCCACAGCGTGACATTAAAATGTCTTGTTCTTGTCACAGAGCTTGGTTTATGTTTGTATGCAAGATCCACTGCTCCCCGACTTCAAGGGAAATCATGGAGTTTAAGACTAATTGTTTCAGGTTAACACATAATACAAAAATAAAAAAAAAACACTGATATGCATCGTGATTAAAATAATTAGAAATGCACTAAGCTCTCCTAGGGAATAAATATTTCAGATGACTACCCAAAGCTGATGTTTGTTCATGTTTTAGGATTGATTTTTTTTAATGATCCAACGAATCGTTTTTGAAATTTATAAAAGGCTAAATAAAATGTAACATCAGATTATTAGGACCCAGATATTTGCATAGATTTTCCATTTTAATAAAATCTGAGTAGGTGTAAAGAATTTCTCATAATAGAAGACAGACGGAGGTACCTTACATGAAAGAGCTGTATTGGACTCACTGCTAAGCTGTTTAGAAATTTGGTTAAGAAATTAGGGCCAGTTCTTTTGCATCTGCTCTTAACTCCCATTGTCAGCTGTTATACTGTAGCAGGCATAGCACAAAGTTCAAGGGGAAAAAATAAACTATTTGTTAAAATAAAGATCATAACCCCTTGTACATTGGTGTAAAAATGAAACAGGTCTAGTGTGTTTGCAGCCCAGAAAAACACAGTGACAGCCGACAGAGCTTGGCCGAAAAGACTCTGTTCCCTTCATTTCAAAATTTAAATAAAGTTTAAATAATCTTGCAGCAGAAAAGACACAGTGAATGGTCAAATGTAGATGTAGGAGCCCCACTACATGGCTAAATTACACTGCTAAATTCTAAAACAGAGAATGGACTCCTGATTTTTTGCTTCTTTCTTGTGCTATGTAAAACAGTGCCATGTGTCTTTGTAAAAAGTATACGTTATAGTTGTATACCTTTTAATACTTTAAATTCAACTTTATAGTTTTTTTTTAGAAATTAAAAAAATTGCCACTGAGTCAATGGCAAAAAACACCACGCTGATTTTAGGAGGTGTGTGTATCACAATAAAGATTGATACGAATTCTGTGCTTGAGACTTGTTTCTGTTCATTTTGACATGGACCATATTTCTCATGTTTACCAGATGGCACCAAACTGAATATCATGTAATTTTGCTCTTCTTACAAACCAAATTATCATCGATGGTGGAATGAATTTAAGGAAAGTGGTAGAGTACAATAAAAGATAGCAAGAGTCACACCACATATTGACAATTTGTGTCATTTTATTTAATTTTTTATCATTTGTGCACATTTTCTACATTTAGTGAATTAATTGAGCGCACAGGGGGACCTGACATTTACACAACTCTTTAAAATGATGAGAGCAAAGCCGACTAATACTAACCATTCCTTAGACTGAAAACTGTGTGAGCATTACATCATCTGAAGAGAGAGGCAGTTGAGTTTTGTGGAGGTAACTGCTGCAGATTGAGTCACTTACACTACGATTAATCAGTTTTTAGAGTTTCAGCAGATTTAATCTTTTTAGTATATCTGTTTTCTCAGAGCAGCCTGGACAGAAAGTGTTCAGTAAATGCCACAGTCCTCATTTACTAAAAATCATAAGCCAGGCTAGAGAAGTTGTAAGCAGAACACATTTCACCCGCTGACAGTTCACATCCATTATTAACCAGCTAGTGGTGTAAGAACAAAGTTTTTTTTACAGTAGGTATAGTTCAGACATAAGCTGTACTGTATATCATTTTTATTGTAATTCATGTCTGCACTTTCTCTGCACTTCATTGCAAATATGTAAAAACAGTAATCCATCCATTGATGATCTTGGCTTGAAAAGCGACAATGCATAAAGTGTGTGCAATTTCTTTTTGAATACGTTAGTTCAGTTTTCAAACAAATTGTTCGGCATTTATTTGTCATCCAAGACTCAAGGGCACCGTTTTGCAATGTTTCGAAAGTCCTCCTGTAAACTCATCCGAAAAACAGAAACCCATCTGGCGGTCTTTCTTCGACTAGAAGCAATGTGATTTCTTTGCAGTTTTTAGAGCAAGTGTCACACTATTCCTTTATTTCAGTGATTGCGTTTGGATTCCATTTGAGAAAGGCCAACGGCTGAAAATTGATTCTGAAAACTGGTGAGGGCAAAAAGTCCAGGAAACCAACACACTCGTTTGCCTCTTTCTCAGTGAAGTGGTTAGTGTAAGCCTATATTAGTCTGTGGGGCTTTAAAAGATTTTATGAATATTTGTGGTGAGCCTTACTCCAGCGAGGTACTTTTGAGACATCCCAAATCATGCCCTGCTGTTTACCTAAAATGGAGACCCATGGCTTATATTCCGATAGTGATTTCAGCCCTATTAAAGACTTACAGAAATTAAATAATGGCGGCTTGTGCAATCTGGAAGCAATTTTGCCATCTGTAGTATATCTGAGGATTTTAAATGGAATTTTTTTGGCTGTGGTTGGGAGGCTCTTGCTTGGAAGCTTACCCCTGAGCTGGAGGTTTCGAAAAGAAAAAGTGACCCGATACGATTTTGCTCTCTCATTGGTATGAAAGAACTTTTTCATTATTGCAAACCAGAAGCAGAACAATTGTGTTCAGTGCTTCTCCGTGTTGCCAAATTCCATTGTGTTGTGTTGATTTCATGGTCAGGTAATAGAACTGTTTGAAATCGTAGCTGGACATCCACATCATTCTCAGCCTTACACTGTACATGATCAGAGGCAACTCACACGCTCTGTAGAGAACACGATAGCCAATTGGGATAGCTTTTTCCCAGATTCCAGGGTTTATTATAGTCATATTAAAATGAGCAAATCTGAAGAGCGTCACTTTTACACTTAATACAAATGCCGCCATTAAAAAGAAGTATCAAACCTTTCTCTCCTGGAATGAAGTTCAACCTTGTTACTCTAAAATGTGATAAGTCAATTTCTCAAACAGAAAAAAAAAAGAATCTTGGTTTTCCTCTGTTGTGATAAAATGGGTAACTGATCATCTTACTCCTTAAGTGAAGAATCATTTAAAGGCCTCTAGACGCAAACACAAATCTATACCCCCCCCCATCCTTTCAGCTACATTATCCTTGGTTTCCAGTTCTTATAGTTCTGTACATGGCTGAAGGTTACTAAAAATACATTTTGGACAGCGTATGGTAAGAAATAAGAATAGGAGTAGGGGCAGAAATAGTATCCAGATGTTCAATGGAAATTCTGAACTGAGCATAATAACATCAAGATAAACATGACATAAACTGACAGAGGATTGTGGAGGAAAGCAACCACCTATCAATACGAGGATCTCTAACAATAAATCTCTGGACAGAGTTTTATCTTTTACATATGTTATGCTGTGCAGGTACACTCTGCTGTACATCAAATAGCTTTTTAAGAGCAACCCCACTCTCTTTAAAACGCCATAGATGTAATAATTCAGAAAGAAGATTATTGAGTGGACTGATAGGTATCTAAGGAAGTCTGTTCTGAACAGTTCAGATATTAACATTGTTGGGTTTTTTTTCTGGTTGCTCCTTGATGATTATCCACATCTGTGGACTAAAGGTACTTCTCAGTCTTATTTCAGGAAACCCTTCTTTGAAATCCTAAGGTGAAATCCTTACGCGTAATAACCTATAGAATGGGTTATATCACAATCAAAGGTATTCTTGCAAAATGAACACCATTTAATCCACCTTCATAGAAAAACCGAAGCAAGTTTACTTTCTCTGAAAAAGTGTTGAAATTAAAAATATTTCATATAAAACCAAAACACAAGGTGTATATATAATATACACCTGATTCTAATTTTGTCATTTCACTCTGTTGAGACCAGAGGGGCCGTCTAAACAGAGTTCTAACTGGCACTTATGTGTTTAACATGGCTCATTTGAGTCTAATTCTTCACATAACTCATGGCGACCGCATGCTTTCCAAATACAATGGTAGAAATGGAGAACAGAACCTAATCATATAGATATTGTATTGTTGGTGCTCATAAAAAAAAACAACTTTGATACATTGTTTGTGCTGTATCAGCAGTACTGTTCGCAAGAGGTCTGCCGGTTGGAGTACAGATAGGAAGTTCAGCATCTAAGCATTAACAGAGTCCAATTTTCATCAAAACATTTAGACGAGAGAAGAGGTGATTTTGCTTTCCTTTTATATGCTTGATACATTCCTACTCTGCATTTTTTTCTGTGTCCTTATACTGTGAAACAGCCAGCGCAAAGCTTTAAATTAAGAGATTAAATGCTGTCTTCTTAGCAATTTACCCAACTCTAAGCAAGGCTCTGCTGACCTCTGCAAAGCTTATTTCCAATTACTGGCCAGTATCAAGCTTTCTTGTTATAGGAAACTCCGCGAATTAACAATCTCAGACGTCTCATGTCCCTTCAGTGAATTCTGTTCTTCCTGATTAGGGCTTTATGATTAATTTGCTTAATTGCGCTGCAGTTTGAAAACAGGAGAGCGGTAATGACCTGTGACGACAAATCTCCCTGTACCTTAATTCCAAACTGACACTAGCACATTTCAGGGAGCATAAACCGACGAGCAGATAGACACGCAGAAAAAGTGAGGAACAGCAGAAATCTTCAGTACGGTTTTAATCCTCTTCTCTATACGGTAGAAGAAGGATGACTAGTTAACGTTTTGTCAGCAGTGAACGGAGAGACTCAACAGAAACCCGCCTGAGGCTGAACTAGCCATATCTGCCTTCAAGCAATCCGTCTTCTGTAGTATCTACCTGCTACGTGCAGGCAATCATCATTCCCTGTGCGACAGCTTGTGAAACGGTAAATATCCTACTACGTTTAAAACTAACGTAAATTCCCCCCCTTGCGAAGCAACATTCAAATTCTCTGAACAATATTTTTGTTTTTCCAAGAGCCCTGCCGGCTTTTTCGTGCCTCATTTTTTTGCGTTCGCTAATGAAATACTGACATCTTCTTTAGATGATGTGAATGCATCTGGCACAACTAAAAATTTGATTTCTATATGTTGACTTCAGTAAACTTTGAAGGTGCTAAGAACTCACTCATGGTTACACTGAAGTAGCTGGAACTTGCTCCATAAGGAATCGCTCAATACTTTCCAATGTTATCGGTCGGTCTTAACAGCAGTAATTTGAGTCCACTGTGACACTATTAAAAAAAAAAACAAGGCAGTTGATTTTGACATTATTTATTGGCTTTCAAAAGAGGATATGTTCTCATTTGTTCTCTGCACAGTGGAGCATTAGAGCTGCCAGCTGCCAGTAATTTTATTAACATACTGTAATTGTGAGAGGTACTGGATGGCCATTCATACCTGAAAAAAGCATTCATGTAAGCAGTGAAAAATTGGCAGTGCGCTGCTCATTTTATAACAAGTGGAATTTATTGGCAGAAACTGAGAATAACCTGTTCTCGAAGAAAATTAAATTTTTATTACCGATATCATTTGTGCTGAAATTAGGCCGTTGTGTTACTCTCATATGTTCAGGCAGGGGACTTTACCAAGATAAATGTTATTAGAGAGAATATAATTATTATAAAGTGTGAGTCTTGTAGGGAAGGGAAGAGGGGGGAAAAGTAAGGGTGACTACTCCTGGCGATGATGTGTGTCCTCTGATGCTAATTGCTTTTTTGAGCTATGTGCCTGATTAATTGCTGATTGAGAGATACCTGGAGACCTACAAGATTATTGTCCTTGGAGGATTAAGTTCTCCTTGGAGAATTAAGACAACGCCGCCTGCACACACCCAAACTCAAAAGGACCCCTGAACTCGAGAACAGTGCTTGAAACATTCATATTAAGATGCACCCAAGTATCCCATCAAATTCTGTGGTCTTAATGCTTATAAACATTTTGGTTACTTTCCTGTTGCATTTTATGTGGATGATTGCAGCCCCTCACAATTTTAGCATCTGACCTCGTGGCTTGTCAAACCATGGGGTTTTAAACCTTAAAATTATAAATTGTAAATAGTAGCTGAAGCTATTTTCTATGCACTACAGGCTCCTTCAGGCAATTGCACTGAGTGTTGGCACTATGAACAACCCATGCTATTGACTGGCATTTTGGAGGAGAAATAACTTATGTCTTCTGACAAACCTCACTAACTGATGCAACCTACAGTTTTGAATGTTAACTGTATGTAATACTTGAAAGACATAAAAAATATTATTATTTTAAATAATCTTATTTTTTATTCTCTAAAGAAAATAACATGGTTTTAAATTCCTGTCATGGAATTGAAGTTATTGATTAAATTATTGTTGTTTCAGAGCTTTTATCTGCTGAGCATTTTAGGTTAGGCTTAAAACCCTATAGGGCTAGACTTTCTAGGACCAGGAGAAAGGCACAATATGCTAACAGTGAAGAACGCATTGTCCCTTTTCTTGTTTAAATGTGAATCTGGTCAGTCTGCACTAAAGGCTTCAAACTTTTCTCTATGGTGAGTGGCACATTGCTACTTTTTTTGGAAGTACAATAAAGGGTTTTATTGATTTTGTCTAGGAGTGTTCCTCTTACAAACACTGCAGTAACAATACTTTTGCCTTTCTTGTCTTATCAACAGAAACCATGTCAACGTGGCGTTTCGTAGAAATATCTGCAGATCAATACGGCTCCAGCACACATTATAGATTTCCTAGCAGAAGGGATAATCAGAGGTCCTCCCTCAAGACAGTTGAATGATCTCACAAAATGCAACAGGTTGAATTATATTTACTAAATTTGCCGTGACACAGAAAACACAACTTCCATTTCACACTGGAATCTAAGCAGACACATCGCTGGGCTGATTAAGAGCAGAGAACGAACAATCACTCTTCCGTTCCCGAAGCAAACTTATCTTCAAATGTTTGAGAGGCTGCCAAAGCAGTTTCTAGTAGAAATTTATCAAAATGTTTTCCATCACTGCTTTGATAGTTGGTGGTGTTGCACAGTGTAGGAGGTAAGTGTTTGGACTCCTGACTGATAGGTTGTGGGTTCAAGGCCCTGCTGCAGACATACACTGCTGTTGTACCTTGAGCAAGACATTTTAATGGAGTTGCTCCAATTAACCTGTATTACTGCGGAAGAGCATTGCTGAAGAGTCACATGTTCTTTTGTTCGCTAAACACCATGACAACTACAATAAACTCGGGCCTGTTGAGTCACTATACTGTATCTGTGGTGTCACCTTTACCTTTGATGGATATTAACTGTATATCTGGATAAATGTGTGAATCCATATGTCCATGTTCATCTTCAGTTCTATAGAACTCATGCTTTCCCATCAGTGCTTGTCAGTTCAAAATGACATTCATTACAGCATTCCTCACTACTTTAGTATTGTTTCTCTTTTTGTATGTAGAAAAAGAAAAACTGAAAATTATTCTTAGCTTTTTTTGAGAGTTGGAGGATTGCACTTTAGAAGCACCTATGACTTTCATTGTGAAAGGTTTAGGTTGGCAGGTTTCTAGTGTTAATACCATGCATTTGCTATCACGTGCCTCTCACCATTTCCCCATGGTGTGCAGAACACTTATGCATTGATCTACAAAGCTTTACACTGTTATTACCACGATAAACCACAGAATACATTCATGAGAGTCAATTGCACTAATTGCATAGATGATCTGATATTCGTCTTAGGTTTTAGACCTTGACACTTTCCATTCTCTCCCCTCAAAAAGCTGCATGATATGTTCACACCAGCACATCCAGTAGTATATTCTGATTCGGAGGGAAAAAAAGCTGTAAATCCGTTAGCAAGAACATCTTGACACGTTAAAGAGCCTCTTCAATCTGCCTGTAATTAGCACTTGAGGGAAGAAGAACTGGTTTTAGCGGCGTTCACACGAGAGGCAAAACACGAGGACAAGCAAACTGATGGGGATGTGTAAAGCGTTATTTTTTCATGTCTCGTTTTCAGTTGCATCTCTTGTGAATTCTGGAGTAAGCAGCAGGCACTTTTTAAAAATTGCCAGCAAGCACTTGTTCCGAACATTTCAAATGTGATACCATATACCTGTATATGAGTATAATGACAATGAACTTGAACTTGAAACATGAAACTTAAACTTGAAACAAAAGCTAGCATTAACCTAAGTGACATTTCCACTACAACACTTTGCAGGTTGTTACAGTTACATTATGACAACTGTGACACACTGACCGAAGTCTTGTGCTGATACATAAGATCTTTGAGTGTGTACCTCTACTATGGCATTAAAACAAATGGAAATGTCAGCACAGAAATCCAATAGGCAGACAAGGTGGGCATGTCCTATTCAAAGTAAGGACACAGAGCATTAAAACCATTCATTCAACTTAATGAAGCGCTGCCTAACCATACATTAATGTATGTATGTGGGCAAGTTTCAAGTAAAAAAGGGACATTTCACCCATCCTTTTAGAAAGACAGGTACTGCAGACAGATATGTTCCTTTTGGAGATCTCCTAGTGAGAAAGTCTTTCCTTCCCTTCAAGTTTTTTTTTTATACAAGCATTTTAGTGTCAAAAATGTTCAGATGTCTTTTCCAGTACATCTATTGCTGCCTTATTTCTGCTCCATATGGCACAGATTACATCAGTGTCTGAAAGGTAACTAGGACTGTTCACATTGATTCTGGCACACAGGAAAAGATGATAGTGCACATTCGCCTACAACAGAAACCCAGTTCCCTTGCTGCCCAGTAAGATAACATCAAGCAACTTAGATTTCCTAATTATTAATTATACATGTTTTTGTGAAAGCTGAATTAAAAATGGAATAAAAAGGTAAAAATTATGATACCTTATTTAATTTTTCTGGGGAGAGAGGACAGTGTAACACAGCAACAATGTCTTTGTACTTATACCTAATTTGCTTAAACTGGATGAAATTATTTAGTCTTCTGGTCTAGTTTGCATGCTGTTATCGCCAAAAGAAAAAGAAACTTTGTGATTGTCCCACTTTCCTATAAGTGCCAAATCACTTCTGCAGTGCTATATTTGTGCGCTTGTCATCTCTCTCTCAAAGCTGATATCTGTCACCATTGAGGTCAAGGTCTTTCTCTTGTCCTTATCAATCTATCCTCATTGGTCTCTGTCGCTGCTTCATTGCCCAGTCAATGGCCAAACCAGGGAACATCTGGTGAACATTACCCTTGGGAACTATGCATGCTGTAGCAAAGAGTGGTCTGATATGTATAATGGAGAATTTGATGGAATTTAACTTAGCCGTAAATCATAGATATTGGGGAGTAGGTTTGAGATCAGAGATTCCGTTTAGCATGCAGGACAAAAAAAATATACGAGTATTCATCTCAAATACCATCTGGGAGTAAAAAATATATATATATATTTTTAAACCTCACCTTTCACAAGAGTTAAGATTTTCTAGCTTGCAGACACAAACGTTTTTATGCCCTGAAATGGAAAAGCATGCCTGAAGTGATGAGACATTGGGGTACAAATGAAAGGCTTGAGACTGAAAATTAAAAGCCAGTAAAATCAGTTAGCATTCAAACAGAAATGTTTAACCAAGCATAAAATACTCACTGACTTATCACGGTCTCATTGCTTTTGCTAGCCTTTGCTTAACAAATAGCACTGAGCAGATAAAAAGCACAGAGCCTTTCTTGAGCACTGTATCTCCATTGCAACAGCATGTAACCTTGTTATGCAAATACCATAATGCATAACATCTCAAGCCAAACAGAGAATTTGTATGCTCTCTCTGTTTTGTCTACAGGAAGAGTAGACACTATAAAAGCCATGCTGGGAAATCGACCTGAGTTGGGGATCTTGGCTGACATAACACGTCCACCTGAAAAAACTGACCCAGACAATTCAATCATCTCCAGGTGAACATAACCTGTCTGTCTTGTTATGTGTTATACTGGCTCCAGTATGTAGCTTAACTAGTCTGTTGCATTTGTGCAGAATGGTTGTCTGTACTAAAAAGAAATGCAGACCCTGAATTCAAAATTGTTATCTTAATGTCTCTTGGAATTCAAAATCATCAGTAACTACAATCTGCTGTTTTATTCAGCTTGAAATACAATGTGGTTTACAATAACCCCAATGTATATAAAAGATACTTTCATTATGGTACAATGCCACTATTTGCAAATTAATACATTTGAAACTGCAATTGTTATTGAGTTGTATGTAGAACATTCTGAACACCACGCCCTTTGTTTCATACTGTTAAATTTAACAATTGTTTCAAGTGTTTTTAAAAATGTTGCATTACCTGTTGAAAACAAATGTTTGACCTCTCTTCTCCTGCACCATTTCACACAATTTGGCCAGGCAAAAGGACAGCTGGTCAGCTCTGTGCTCAATGTGCCCTGCATATAAATACTGAATCTTGTTGGGCACTTTGTCTGTATTTCTGCAATTTGTGCCGCTTATTTGCTGGAGAAAATAACTCTTGTTAGCTAATTGTCTGATAGATTCAAACTATTAACTTAAGAGATTAAGTTTTGCAGTGTTATAAAAAACGCAGACCATGTTAAAGGAATTTATTTCCAGTTATTAGCCAGTTTCTGATGTTGGTAATGGCCTGTTGACATTTGTGATTGTGCCATCTGCTAAGCTTGACGGCTACATTCTGGAACAGATTACAGAGTCTCAAGCTCTGTTCTCTTTTTACAGCTTGAAGGAATAAAAATTGCGTCTTCGATCAGAGAATATGTTGGCAGATCAAGAATTCTGAGCAGCAGAATAACTACAAGTCTCTTTGTTCTCTGCCACACTCATAAGGAAAATCCAAACATTGTACCACTTGCACTGACATTTAGAATTTAAAGCTTTTCTAATGGCACTAAACAGAAGGGATATAATCTCTAAATTCTAAAAACTTTAACATGGGAGTAAAACAGGAGTGGACATGAAAAAGAAAGGAGTCAGACATAATTTTCCATGAAAGAGCTACAGATATTGGATTTGAGAGCAAAGCTTTGGAAGGATACAAATGAATATGGATCAATAAGTAAGGCTACATAAGTAATAATGCGTAAAACAAAACAGCTTCCCACATAGTACTCAACTCAACCTAGTTGCTCAACCTCAAATGCACTGAAATCTATTTAACCCTGCTCCTCACAACTTTCACAAAGTAATACTGATAATCTGACACAGGAAAAATAAAAGCTGTGGCTCTGGAAAAACCGAGAACAGACAGACTTATTCACTAGAAGTGGTTTTAAAGAACAGACTACTTTCATTATGATTTTTCAGCTGTCTAAAATTGTCGGCACTTATTGGAAAGAAGTAAAGATTCTCATTAAAACAAGAAACGCCAGCAGAAAGTTTAGATCAGCATGTTTCAAGTCTTTTTTCTTAATTGCACTTTGTCTGTATTTCTGCAATATGTGCTGATTATTTGGTGGAGAAAATAACTCCAGCTTTCTGGTAACCTCTAGAGTTCACCAAGGACCTTGCTTGATGTGTGGGGGGAACATGTCTTAAAATGCACAGAAAAAAATGAAAGTGCAATGAAAGGAAGAAAATATTATTCAGGACAGAAATTTTCCAGTTGCTTGCCTCTCTGAGGGTATATGCATCCCTGCCTGCAGACAGCTTGTTCCTTTACTAGGGTGTTTTTTTTCTCTTTCCCTAAGATGAACCACTCCTCATTTCATTAACAAACATTAGAGTCTGAGATCAAAAGAGATCAAAAGATATTGCCTGCATTTTGTTCAGATTCCCTGTCCTTAGTCAGGAACTGAGCTTTGAGTTGGATAGACTACAGCCTCCATTGAGCCCTTGAAGCCAGCGTGATCCTAGCATCCCCTTAGGAGTCCCAGGAATGTGAGAGAGAGAGATGATGAGCTTTGTATTCTAAAGAGATTTGCTTTTCTCACCTCTTTTTTTACCTAGAGGCATTTTAGTGCTTTTAGTTTAAAACAAACAGCTCTGTCACACGAAAAGCCTGTTGTGCTATAACTTCCAGATCTGCAGCGGAGAATAAGGTTTTCTTTGATATTCCAGGCACTTTTCTTCTTCTGAACAGTGTTTATTTTATAATGAAATAATTTCTTTAATTCTTTTAAATTCTAATTAATTTCTTTAATTTCCCATTTCTTTAAAATCCTGTGTTCAAAATCGCTATGCATCTTATCGATCAATTACAGTAAATGTATTAAGGATCGCTTCCTTTCATAGTCTGTATCAGCCATTTGAAGGACAAGAAATAAACTTGTTTTAAACACTGACAGTATAATGACAACTTCATGGCACTTAATGAACGATTGTGAAGCAATGTACAATGTCCCATTGTCTCAAATATTGCTGTATTGTTGCACTAGCTCCTTTCACAGACCTTACTGTAGGTACAGCATGTTGTTTTAAAACACAGTGGACCACATTGATTTAATTTCAATGACAGTCATCATAAAAAAGAACAAAAAAACATTAATTTTGGATCATTTAATAATGGGGCAAGTCAGTGTGTCTTTTCACAGTTTGTGTTGTGCCACAGAATAAATCAATAAACTTCGTATAAAGTTCATATGTGTAATGGTTGTATTTCAGAAACATGGGGTTGTTGTAGCCTCCTTTAATACACAATTGTGGTTGTAACATAGAGAAAATCCCTGGCATACTGGAGCAGTTTCACTTTAATACACAAATGAAGGACCCTCTCCATTTTTCTAGAGGGTAATGAATCAAATGTCACAGATAACAAGAATCTTGTGCTGCTGATGTATTACTGTCTGGCTACAGTCTTATCCTTTGCGAGTAGTAAGCAAGGGATTACTCTAGTAATAAGCAGGGATACTTCCAATGTATGGTCTGTTATCATACAGCTAAACATATATTAAAGTTAAACTGTAGTATGAATGTCAAGCTGGGATATTGAGCTTCACTAGAGATCTTGCTCTTTATCAATCTTTAGATTGCTGCACCAAGTGAAGTCTGCATCTAAATTTAGTCCACGGTCAAAGGTTTTCATTAATTATAGATCCATCAGAATGTATCGGAGGCCTGCATTGATTGGACCTGTTCCCATCATCTGCTCTTGCACAATCTTGCCTCTGATTCTAAATCCGCAGCCTCTTTACTCCATTAGGCTGACAATAGCAGGCAGGTCCTGAATTGTTACAGAGTGTCCAAAGGCAGCTGATCAATCCCGACTTATAGACTTTTTTTTCTTAAATGAACCAGCAAAAAGACAAGATAATGGCAAAGAACAAAACCACACAAAAAAATGCCCACAGGAGATTATGATTTGCAAGAATACACACTGACCACCCTTGGAGATTGTTTGTCTGAGGTGAAAGAGCTCTATTTGTAGTGCTCTGCTTCCTGTTTTGTGCCTTGATCATATAGAAAATTCACCACCAGAGAGTTATAATTATGACCTCTCACCACAACTCCAAAATTAAAAAAGGAATGGCCTTGTGGGTCTGGATTAAGTTAGAATTATGAAATGTGTTGTCCTTACAGTACAAATTAGATAAATTGCAAAGAAACAAACTGCATAATAATGATTTCAACTTTGGTTGTATATCTTGATATTAAAATACAGGGCCAATCTTTTCTAAACTGAATGCTAAACAGTTAAAAGCCCCTGGCTTTAGCACAGTTGACTGTAGGACAAACATATCTTCAGCTGTGCATCATTCTGACTATGTTCCACAGAAAAATGGAGTAGATATTTAATTATACAAGGAAACAGGAGGAAAATACACATTTATAAATTAGGGATGTACATAAGTTGTTGGAAAACCGTTTCCCAAAGACTGATTTGCCACCATTGCTCCGTGGCTGTCCAAGTGAATTCTCACAGCTGTGCACTCCACTGTGGTGACACAAAGTCCTGGAGTTAATAGATGTAACTGATTACAACATGCAGTCGCCCTAGCCTTTGGTTCCTGTTTGACCCAGAGGTGACTTGGTAGTGTTGGCTTGCTTCACGCCTGAGTGCTCCGCACATGGAAGCAAAACTCACACTACTGTGTCTGTGTCCATTACTTACCGTGAGATACGCGCTACCATTTTAACACTTAGCTAGAATACTGGTCTCCCACTATTCTTTGGCTTTGTGTCAGTGTGCTGTTCCCAGCAGATGTTGGAAATTGTATTTTGCTGTAAACCACAGTGTGATATTTGTTTTATGCTGTGTCCCCAATGAACTACAGCACAATTAGCTAAGTTAATTCTCTTCTCCTCTATTCAGCTACATATGACAAATACTGAGCTTGCTGGCTGAAAAGCCATACTACCACGTGACCGTATCTATTTGTGTGAAACAGCGAAATCTTAAATTAGGTTGTGTGGGAGAGTGTAGGTGTTCACTACTTGGTAGAAAAGGAGAGGGGACATACATCAGGGCACTGACACATATCAGGGCACATGCAGTGGCAATTCAATAACCACAAAAATAAACCTATTCAATAAAATAATAATGTAAATGAATAGATCATTCTGACAGAGATTCACTTGAAATTTTGCTGCGGATATACATTTGAGCATGTTTTATCACTTTTGTTGCTGGTGCATTAAGTGCAATAACTTTTTTCTTTCATTTGAATCTAGTTCACAGGTTTATTCACTATCTTATTTGTAGGCCAAAGAATGCACTCCCTTAATCTATAGTTTCTAGATCTATAGTTTCCAAACATTTGTAGAAAAGACATACAGTATACAACAAACTCTGTGCTACCACAGAGTTCTGAGTTGCCATTGGATTCCAATGTTAATGTACATAGCAACCAAAGTCTAATCTCATATTTCACCTCTTGCACTACTTATATATCAGCAGGAGTTGAGTTTATTAAATATTTAACTTCATTTAGACTTATTATATTTTGCTTTCATTTCCCTCTTATACGGTTCTCATGCCAACATTAGAAAGTTAGCATAGCAAGAACTCACATACCAGAACATCCCAAGTTCCAAGCCCAGAATAATCAGCTATATCAGGGTATTATGAAAACTGACCTGGCAAAACTCACAGGATTTTCCAATTGGTTTTCCAATTTGTTGCACTGGAGCGGAATGTACTCTAAAGAAACTTAATGACACTTAATACTTAAGCTTAACACTACATGTTTATAATTTCCTCATCATATGATGGTTGTATCATTGTCAGATGTGCCCTTTTTAGGCACTTATTTATGATAGTAATATAAGGGCTATCCTAATATTAAATGTGACTAAAGAAAAATCTCAGAGAGCAAAGTAACAAATACCTACATAAGTTTTAAATCTTTGTAAGTCTTGAAACATGGGTAAATAATACATTGTAACTACAGAAAAAAATGTTTTTTTTAATCAGCCTAAAACACTTCAAACAAACACCTGGATGGAGATGTATCTACTGTATAATCAATAGCTCTCTAAAACAGGAGTGTTCCTTAATACTTTCCCCTGTTTAAGATAATACACGGGTTCACTTGTGGTTTAATTCATAATAATGGTCTGCCTTGTCAGGGATTTTATCAAAGGAATTCCCAGTGCTCCCCTTGTACACAGCAGTTCTTTACTGTGCGGGAAGCTGTGCTTTAGAAAAGTAATCTCTGTTTGAAATACTGGAGGCAAAGTCAGAGTTTAAACACAGTTAAGCAATTATGATTCTGGTAATGCTCCAGAAGCAGCCAGCTGTTTGCTGAAGCTACAATAGGGCTGTTTAGACTCCACAGTGTGAGAGCGTCAATCCTTGTTGCCTTGACCTTGTGAAATGGAGAAGTGAGGCAAAGACAGCATTTAATGATGTTAGCCTGCTGTTGCATGGCACCGGATGGATTGCCCCAGCTAATCTCTTATTATCCATCTTTCCTTGAAACTAACAAGAGAAAACAAACAGGTGTACACTTTGCATTTTAAGGTGGTCTATGTCATGTCTTTCCAGCTGCAGAAGACATGACCTGATCATGTATTTTCACCATCATAAACATCATGAACAGGACACTTGGGCTGCATTGGGAGTAAATGAGCATAATTGAATTAAGGGAGGATTTGGGGAGGTCAGACTGTTTAAATGCAAAGTGTAATTTAGCCAAGGCACTGCCAAGGGGTTAGTTCCCCTACTCTTTGGAACCATGCTATGGGATGTTTACTGACCAAGCAATCAGGATCTCAGTTTAACATTTGATCTGTATCATGGCGTTTCCTACATCACAGTGTCCCCAGTCAGCATATGGAGGCATTAGTTCGGAAAATGTTGTCCAGAGGGAAGAACACCGCCTATAGGACCACTGTATCCTATATTACAGCAACATGATTGTCCCTAGAGGTCTAGGCCAAGCCTTGCTTAGCTTCCAGGACTGGGAAAACAGGTGGTAACATTGTTATCAAGACAGGTCTTACTTGTTTATCTAGAGTTTGACCGCTTTCACGTTTACCAGTTGGAGGAGCGACCTTGACTGTTGGCTTATTCGCTTACAGGGACATCCCTCAGGGGCCATCCCTCAGTGGGAACTCTAATGAGCTTTGATGGTTGTTCCTGTAATTAATAATGAAATGGAAATAAAAATCCCTAACCCAACCATTAGGGGTCTTGAAGCTTTCTTCTATACTTCCATTCCTTCATGCATGCCCTCCAGTGCAAAGGAAAGGTCAGTCTACAGATCCAGCACCTCTGTAACCTCTCTCTCGCCCCTGATCAGCTCAAAGTGTGCTGCACTGAGAGCTGTCAGCAAGTCCCCACCCTGAGCTGTCTTGTCTTGAGGTCTGTCACAGTGTGATACATTTTGTAACCTATTGATATTGCCGTTTTTCAGTATTGTAAAACAGAAGTGTGATAACCAAACTATTGGACGGTAAGGTAAGGGATCCCAAAGCACACCTGCAAAATTGCGTTTCGATAACGTTCAACCGCATCAGGCTCGGATAGTCTTGAAATTAGAAGTGCGTGCCCCTTTTGCTACTGAATGGAATCTCGAATGCTTCCAGCCACCCACTTGGAATGAAATGACAAACCAGACAGCTTTATTGCAGATTCCTACCCCATCATTTATCTGTGCAGTTGGTTTTCAACATTAATCACTTACGCGTCTTAGAGAAAAGCGACGTGGACAAGAATATTTCAGACTGCATCACCCTGTACTTATGCTCTGCAGGAGAAATGCCAGAGTCAGTGAGCGTCACTCTGCTGTGGGTAGATGATGGTTATTGCTTCACGCAACTCACACTCGTTGGTGTCAGCGTTGCTATATCTTTGCAAGCGATCACGGAGCCTTCCTTTTTAAAGGTTAATGGAGGGATAATACTAAGAACACGTCAGGTGGAAGGGAGAGAGCAAAGGAGCTCAGTGTTTCTGTCTTTCAGTGAAGGTGGTCTTCAACACTAGAGCTGCCACTGCTGTACGTTTCCCTCCCTCTGATCCCAGCCCCCACTCCAGCGACCTCTCTGAGGCAGCCAGTCTCTAATTAAATAACTGAATTATTTTTTTTATTCCCGTCAATTGAGTTTTCTCTACATGCAGATTTTAGCATAACAATGACAAACAACGCTTGGCAGAAAAGGTGGATAATAGCTCGCATAAAGAGCTCAGCACAATATTGATTCATTCATAACTCACTTGCGTTTTTTTCTCTCAGCATGGTTTCATTATGTTTTTTTGTTAAAGCTATTAACCTATGTTTAGAAAATTATTATGGACGTTACCAAATGAAACAAACAAGCCTTAATGAGCATTTTGATGAAAGACATTAATAAGCCTAATTGAATATTGAAGCTCAGATTGCAGATGAATAAACAAAAATAATATTTTACAGTTACATTCTGAAAGCTTTGTAACAGGGATTAAATTTACACAAGCGATATGGAAAAAAAGCAGACTAATAAATACCTTTTAGTCTCCTATCAGCACAGACAGTATGCTTTAAATGATGAGCAGTTGTGTCAATATATGCTTAATTTTCCATGCAGGTCAATTTAAGCATTATGTCTTTACAATCAAAACCTCCCCATCATCTTTCGGAATTTTATTAGCAGGTGCACTCAGCTCTTTCTTCTCACATCCTCATTGTTCCAGAGAACATCACCTTATTCTAAATCTTTCAAAATGTTCCTGGCAGGGCTCTGATTTTGCTATTTTCTAAGGCTAGGATCATTCTGTCCCAGCTCAGAATGAGTTTTTCCCAGCGTGCAGTTTACAGAGTGGAAAAAGACAGAAGACAACTGTCTTAGCAATCAATGGATTGCTAACCAACCATTCATCTTGTCATAAAAAAAGAGTAAAACTGTCAGTCCTGAATTCCTTGATATGTCCAAAGTGAGGGAAATATTTAGTTTGTGTGAAGGAAAGTCCTGCAGGCTTGATTGCCCCCCCAAGGCAAAGCACAGCAAACAAACTCAGTGGGTAAGAAACAGCCTTTGATAGCTACCAGGGATTAAGGATGGATGCAGTATCAGGATTAACCAATAGACTGGAAGATTATTGAAAAAGGGGTTTACACAAAGGTGTAAAGGAAATGGGCATCAACAAATGACGCTCGGGTTTGAATAAGAGCCCTTGATTCTCTGTATTGACATCGGTTAAGCTTTGAAGAGTGCAGTCTGAGTTTTCAGTACCTTGTCTTCTGAAGGTGTATCTTGGATTTGTCCTTTGCCAGAGGCGGGCAGGACAATGATTATACCCTATCATACCTTTCTGTACTCATCACAAATTTGTCATGAACTCGCTATGTTGTGCCTCACTTTAGGCAGTATTTACCATGGTATACCACTTTAATATTTTATTTTAACAGCCTACTCAAATATCATAATTATATGCTTGATGTTTTATCCTATCAAGCCCTTAGGATATACAGTATACCGCAACATTGCTTTAGAAATATTAATCACAGTTTTTTCATTTCTTTTTTTTTTCATTAAGCTGAATTATGTAGTCCTCTTACACCCATTATTACTGCCTATGGAGCTGTTTAGAGATGTTTAGGTACCAGATATATATCTTGTGTTTGTTTATTCAACTCAGGCCATTAATAGTATTATTATTTACAATTTCTATTACTGTTGCTGCATCCTACTGATATGTCAAGCTTTACAATTCTTGAAGAGGGTGGCTATGATCTTTTTGAAATAGGTTTATCTCATAGACTGACCGTAACAAAAGCTTGGAAAGACATTGAAAGAGATACAGGCCACGTTAACCTGACTCATGAGGCTGATTGTGAAACCCTGAGCTGAAAGGCTAGCTCTTTCATTAGGGAATGCGGCACTGGATTAGCAGATGGAATAAACCCTAACCCTTATTCTTTTACTTGAGTAATAACAAAAATTTTGACATTGAACTATCGAATGTCCCTGTTCCACCAGTGATGGTTGAAATAATGCTATTCATCCATCTCCTCACCGTTTAATTCAATACAGTGATGTTGGGGAGCTGGAGCCTATTTTGTAAAGCAATGATTTGAAGGCAGTATATACCCTGGACAGAATGCCAGTCCACTGCAGGGTACACGCAGACTAACCCACACAACACACCAAGGCCAATTTTCTTAGAAGCCGATGGTTTAAGATTGTGGGAGGAAACAGGAGCACTTGGAGGAACCCACATGAACACAGGGAGAACATATAAACTCCACTCAGATAGCACCCCAAGTCCGTAGTTGAACCCAGGACTCCACTGGTGCAAGACAGCAGAATGCTAAAACCATTCTTTTTATTTTCAATCTTCATCCCATATTTGTGTATCTCTTTCCATTGTCAGAACTCTGCAAAGTTAATCTCACTGTGCGGCTTAATCTTAAAGGTTAATTTACATTTTAGTTCTCGCCGTTGACAAATCCTGTTATATTTTATGATTTTCCTACATATGTCTCCTCCCTTCTTCTACCTACACTAAGACAATTTAATTTCCTTCCTCAGGCAGATGAGAGTAGAGCCTACACTCAATGGTTTGTTTCCAGACTCCTGGAGCTGCTGTGCAGAATGTGTTCACACTTTCATCTCAGAACAGCACAGTTTTCAATTGGAGCAACTGTCCTGGAGACTTTGGTCTTTAGAGATGGCTGAGTACAACTGCAGCAAAATCAGAATTGCTTTCTTTTATGTGGGGAAAAAACAGCTGCACACTCTACTGCTAAAGCAATGTCACAGCGGGGTGATGGGATAAGTCCTACTGGCCAAGGGAAATGATATACTGTACAGGAGCTGTGGAGTGAAAAATAAGCTGCACTACCCGAGGGGGAAAATGAATTTACGATTTTTTACATGGAAAATGTCCTCCTAAATGAGTAAAAGTTCACAAACCAGCTCAGAAATACAAGCAAACATTTGTTTTTACAGTTTTCTCCCAACGGAGCAAAAAGTCTACAGTCAAATGACCAAAATATTAAAGTATTGCAAAGAACAAGGTCAAATGTGAAACAATTGCATATGCAAATCTGTTAAATATATTTTTTTTAAATCTACAGAAAATACAGTGTAGTTAATTACTAAATAAATCTATATAAATGTTTATACAGTACACTGGCTCTGTTGGTTCCTTTTATGCCCAATAAAGCTTTGCTCTCTGCCTTGGTATCTGCACTTTAAATAACAGAATCCGCATTTAAAACAGAAGGCAACACGTCTGCTTTCTGACTCACCACGGATTATTATTTTCGCTTGGGTAAGTGAGCGACAAGTCACAGATATGACGGACACTACTGTGTGGGCATTTGGCGGTGGCTCTTGCTGAAGCTCCAGAGGAAGGAGAATTCTGCTGGCCCTGCGCTGCCAGAGACAGTAAAGTGAGGATTTGTGTTTGCCATGTGCTGCAGAGCTTTTAAAATAAGACAAGTGGAGATGCTTTGCTGGGGCCATTCATTGTGATTAACGATCGTTGGGATGGTTTACAGCTGCCGTTTACAGAGGGATTAAACTCTAATATTTACAATGAACTTGGGTTAGCAGAGGCAGCTGTGTACTGTTCTGCAGCCAGGCTCCCACAACAAGTATGAAAGGCACTGGCAACCACAAGCAACAAATCACGAGACTTTATTTTCTTTCATGCTCAAGGGGAGTAATCCACTCCTCTGAAAAATAATAAAATATATATGTGAAATGCTTGTGGATAGTATTGGTGGTATAAGGAAAAAAAGCATTCTACTTTAAGCTTACACAGTATACATAAGATTAAGTATTTACCATTTAAATCTAGTCAGAGTTTTCCCTATGACAGCAGTGTTAAACAAAATCCTTTTTGGCACAACGACTCTAGCCTTTTCCTTAGAAGCACTGGGTTGTGCCTGTGAAATTTCTACTTTATTTCCAGCAAAGTCAATCCTTCAAGCTACTCAGTGTGTGTTAATATTAATAACAATGTGATAAAAACACAAAATTGTGAACTACTAGTATTTTAAACAGCTCTGGCTCTGCAAAGCATAAAATAAGAAATAGTACATCTGTGAAGGGCACCAGCAACTATATTTTTTATGCAAATCATTTTTTTTTGCTCTCATACAATTTGACTAATATCATCCTTATATCACTGTTTCTTTGCATCACTGTCTCATCAATTTCATTGTAGCAGTATTCGATTTTTTACGTTTACATTTCCACAGCTGTTTGCTGGGAATTTTCTTTTTCTCTGCGTTTGTTTCCCCCATGACAGATGCTTCTGTCTGCTGAAATTACTGAGCGTCGCGCTACTAGTTAAAATGATTCAGAATCTAAATTGTTTAAGTGGAGTAATGAAAGGTAAAATATGAAGTCTGTGATATTTATTATAACTATTTGAAGTGGAACATGGCTGACAGAAGCTCTTTACAGTTTAATTCCCAACAACAAAAATGCTAAACCAATGAGCCATGCAGTACAATTATAATGGAGTACAACAGACGTTTCTCTGTGGTGTGGCAATGAATCCAGGCTAGAGTCTTGAATTAAGAAACGAACTAATAATGGTCATATGATTTGTGACTAAACTTAAGATCTTTTTACAATGATATAATGGTATAAGTACTGTTGTTTCACATTAAATGGGCCACTTTCCCTTGTGTTTTCCTAATGTGTTTTGTTGAAGTGATAGTATTGCACTACTTATAATAGAAAATTATAGCCAGCTTGGGAATGCACTAGCATTGCAGTGCAAACTCCTAGAAAAATGTGTTGTTAACTTACCAGTAACTGCAAAAAACTGACCAATGCTCAAGTTTATTCTTTTACTGAACAGTGCATGTGGACAGCCTAATTAAAAAGATATTGTTTCAGCTTGCAGGCGAAAGCTATACATCCACTTGTTTAACATGAGAATAAATGTACAGAGTTTGAGGTCATAGTGTTCACAACTCTGTGAAGCCAAGGAGGATGACAGGGAAGAGATCTGACTTTTTCTAAAAAGACCCACAGGATCGCTGGAGGTATCTGATATTTGCTTGAAGGCAAAGATCTGCAATAGGTCTTGTTCAGTGGCTAATCTTTGCCCAACCTTTAGTTTGCTCTGCCTCGACTCACACATTGGAAGAAACGAGCGGCCTTTTTAAAACCAGACCAAATCCCGATCGATTACATTTCTTACACGATAGGAGCAAGAAGGAAAAAACAACAGTGGACGGTAGTGGCAGTTGGTAGGGGAAAAAAAACGTCATGAAAATAGAAAAGATTTAATGAACCCACTACAAGTGCGGAAACTTTTCTGCACCTGGGAACCCTGGTGTGCTCTCAGCAGGCTGCCTGTCTGGAGTGCTTCCTTGAAACAGTAACATCCAAAGGAGTTTCAAACAAGCAGCTCTGTGCGAGCCCCTGATAGGTGGTGTGTACGTGGGTGTGCAGGTCTGTGTGTAAGGAAGAGCTTTGTTATATAAATGGCTAAAAGAACAGAACAAAGAAACCTCTGCCTTCAGCAGCAGGGAACTGCTTTATCTCTCAAATACTCTGCACAACCAGACACCACTTGTAATTAGATATGAGAGAGCTGGCTCTGGGAGTAGGAAAAAATGGCATTGTCTAAGCATTAAGGGCACGCACAGAGGAAATTGTAGGCATTAGGATTATTTAGTGGCTTTAGATAATAGAGTGGAAATCAAGGGTGTTCAATTTGCTGTGTGTGGGCTTTTTTTTTTACAATGTTATTTATTTAACTGTCACTTAATTCTTAAAGGTACCTGTTCCACACGCTTGGCCTACATCTCCAGTGGCGTTTGAGCTAGCATGTATCTGGGAGTGGACTGCCACTGTTACAGGGCAGAAAGTGCTCTGATGTTACTGCTGATGCTGTCTTCTCATTGATTCAGATTTTCCATTTTTAACTGTGTCTGTTTTTTTTTAAATGATCGTGCAGTGTGGGTCTTGATCTTTTTTTTTTTAAATCAACTGTTCTTGCCACGGAACTTTTGAAATCATCTTAACCAGCATTTTGAATAAACAGCCCCCATTTTCAGCAGTAAAAGCCAGCCATACTACAGCCTCAAAAATGCTTCCCATTGCCACTGAGCTTTTTTGATTTTGAAGTGAGCAAGAGACATCAAAAGAACACCTGAAACACACACCCCGTCAGCTGAAACAATCTGTCCTCACTCCATAGCTTAAGAGAAAGAAAACAGAACAACAGATTCAGCATGTGCCACATGATTTAATATTAGTGCATATTTAGACTGGCAGTAGAATGAGGGACAGGAAAAGTAAACAGTAGTTTAATGTAGTTTCTAAAACACTTTGATCTTGATCTTGACAATACTTGTTCAGGCACATTTTCTCTTTTATTACATTTTTTTTCTCTCACTGGTAGGATCTTTAAGAGGCAAGATCCTAAATTTTCACCTTGGCAATTTTCCGGAGCAGCGACGAAAAATGACTTGGAAGAACGATGTTTAAAGAGGAGCAGAGAATAAAATACCACCCACCAAAGAGAATTTGTATTATGTGCCCGGAGGATGACATTGACTACTCATTCAGAAAATGCACTTCCGTGTCCTCATCATTTTTCACTCTGCAAAACCTCAGCTGCAAAACAGGAAATTTCTATGCTAAGGGATCTGGGTCAAAGAAAGATTTTTTTTCTTGTTTCAGTGCAATTCAGGGATGGTTCAGGTTATTAATCTAAACTGAATAATGCATACAGGAAAATCATGTTCTGATTGTAAATTATTGCTTGAGCCACTACATTCTCTATAAGCATATCTAACCCATGAACACAGCTATTAGAATTGATTTAGTTTATGATGTTCAGGGAAATACAAGCAAGAGTTACTATAGACCCTGTTTAGAACAGAAAAATGTTAAATGCAATGATGTTTCTCCCTTACAGTTTCATTATTATTTATAAGAAGGAAAAAAAAAACAATTGTCATTTGATATTTGTGGAGATGTCAAGTTTGGGTATTGTCAAGATTTTCTTTTTTTTTTTTTGCCTTGTTCAGATTAACCCCTTTAATTGGAAATGCAAGCACAAGAAGAGGAATTTGAGAGCTGCTCGTCTCGAGAACCTCTTAACGAAATGTATTCTGCTTCAAAGTAAGCTCGCTTAATAAAAGCGAAAAGAGATGCAGAAACAAGCAAGGGCAGACAGAGAACACTTCCTTGAACAGGGGGCTCATTCGCTCCTGTGTTGTCCTTCTGGAGCTGTGCCGCACCAGGAAGTGTCATAAAAGCGTTGGAGATCTGCAACAGCAGAGCAGCTGCTTTTCTCCCGACCTCCGGGCCTCCTGCCGGCTCCTCGTTGCTATGCGAGGTTGAATTGAGGAGTAATGAATACTCCTCCCACCCAGGAGGGTCTGATGCCGGAGAGACAGAAAGAGATTAAAAAAAAGCCCTCGACGTCGGGCTGCACAGGGCGAACCGGTAACGCCAGGAATCGGCACTGCTCATCACGAGATGTACTGTAATGCTTACGGCCGACAAGCACTGTGTGTAAGAGCCGGCGTACCAGAGCGGGTGACGTCTCTGCCCTTCCCTGTGATAGCAGGACCACAGCTACTGGGCTGTGGAGAGAGATCTCTCTTTAGCTCACGGGGCTAGGTCGCTGCAGAGAGACGCGGAAGTCCCGGGTTCGAGCCTCCAGTCGGGATGGGGCCGACCAGATGAGGCAAGGGCGCCCGCCTGAGCCCCCGTTGCGTTACATTGGTGTCAGAAGCGGGGCGGGATAGCCCTTCGCCGGGGACGGCGATTTAAGTGGGGGAGAGTGTAACGCTTACGGCCGACAAGCACTGTGTGTAAGAGCCGGCGTACCAGAGCGGGTGACGTCACCGCCCTTCCCTGTGATAGCAGGACCACAGCTACTGGGCTGTTGAGAGATCTCTCTTTAGCTCACGGGGCTAGGTCGCTGCAGAGAGACGCGGAAGTCCCGGGTTCGAGCCTCCAGTCGGGATGGGGCCGACCAGATGCGGCAAGGGCGCCCACCTGAGCCCCCGTTGCGT